CGGCTGCTATGGTAACCTATTGTGTCGCAAAAATGATAACAACGTGTTCACCAATGATTGGGAAGTTTTTGATACCATGATAGTAGGATCAAGTGATGAAGAGTGGTTATAATGACCCATCAAAATCTAACAGCTAGAAACTGTTTTGAGCCACCTTAATACTGTTTTAAACGCCCTCTTTCGTATTACATATAGAACAAAGACAACACAAGCAGCTTCTTCTGTTTCAAATGATTTATTAATTTAAGAAAAAAAATGTGTTATACAGCATTGAAAAAATAAAGAATTGAAAAGACGATTTAATTTCAAGATTGATGTACTTGCCATCTCATCAGTTCTTGATTTACACACTTGAATATTTCACTTAAATTAAACAAGTTAAATTAAACGTCGATATGAGTCACCTAAACTTTAATAACAAAGGAGAATACTCTATAAAATATGACTTCAGAAACAGATTTCAGCTTTAATAATAAATAATCCAACCTATTTCACAATCAAGAGGGCAAAAAGCTGTGTTTTTATAAAATCACTAGTTTATTTAGGAAGTTGAAGAAACGAAGCTGAATTCCTTAGTTACATGTAATAGTTAATTTCCTAAGACATGAACTTTATAAATTACAGTGAATGGCTGTATTCTTAGATAAATTTCATAGATTACAGTGTTTTTTTTTTTATCACATGGGGTGACAACTTTAATAAGTTCTGTTTCCGACGAACAAAATATTTTGGCCAAGAATCAAAGGAATCGTACTGGATTAGAATTCTGCTCAGAAATTTTGATGCGACCTTACCAATAGATATTACTTTTCAAGCAGCATTTATTAGAATTGTCACACCCCGTGCTCATGTTTTCACTATTCTAGCTTTACGTTAAGGATTCAACTCAGAAACCAAGTACACTCTAAAATATTACTGCTAAAACTAAGTTGGTTTTTATTTTGTACTTTTACTTTACTTGAATAAGAATTTTACATGTCATTGCGTCGTGTGATTTTTATTATTTTTACAATTTAAATTAATTACAGGCCAAGAAGTTACACTTTAATTTGTCCGGGAAAACCTGAAAGTAGAATAAACAGCAAAACCTGAATAGAATGTTATATAATACATAATTCATCAAATAATTTCGCTCGCGCGTGATTGGTCTAAACTTGTCACGTGAACGAATATTACCCAGCTAATACTGGGGAATATCCTAGAATATTCGGCAATTTTCAAAAGTGCGCGTGTTGCGAAAAATATTTAAAAGATAATAAACACAGTAGCCTCCATTTGACGTTGAAAATATGCTCGGATATTTGTCCTTGGACATCATCTGTTCCTCAAAGCTCACAGTTTTCCTCGAGCTACGCTCTTGGTAAACTGTTCGCTTCTCAGAACAGATAATGTCCGCGGACAAATATCCGAGCATACTTTCGCGTCAAATGGAGGCTATTGTTTATATATACTACAAAATTTATAATTCATTGAATTAAAGTACCTGATAACCTATCACTTTAATTATCGTTTTATCCATAAACTAAAAAAGTTTTTGCTGGTATGAGAAAACTGGCATGAACACAGTTACTGTTACCAGACAGGAAAAGAAACATTGATGATTGAAAAAATCTGTGAAATAATGGTTACCTGTCAGTTTGGCGAGTTCAACCGGATTCTGCGTGAATATAAACTTCTCCATCGCTGCCACGCTGAAATGAAAAGAAAACAAATAAAAAAGGTTGATTAGTTTCATTTGCACTTCAGAGTTTAGTTTGAACAATTAATGCCAGGTTTCACCAAACAAAATGTGCAAAAACGACATGATTGACGAAAACGCAGCCTTTTGTTTCGACTAAAGTTCAATATCAACGTACTATATAAGGCACAACACGTTCACACGAATGAAGATGTGTTAGTAAAATGAACAGCAATTTGACTTCGTTCATGTCAATAAGTCAGATATTTGAAACTTTTCAATTACATATAAATTGTAATCATATCTGCATAGAAAGTGTATGCCTTGCCCGACGCGTTCCCTGGTACATTTCTTGCTACTTATAGCTACTTTTGCTCGTTTCGTGTACTCAGGCGGGTGTGGTGCCAACCTCAGGAGTATAAGAAGGCCTTGAACTTAATTAGACACTCACCTAAAAAAGTGTTGACTTCTCCTGCTTTGTAGGTCAAGGCAGACCTGAACATACCAAGAGGGATTGTAGAATACAATACGCAATAGTTGCTCGCCAAGCCTGAGTAAAATAGATATGAAAAGAACATAACAAAGTTAATAAGATATTAAAGCCATTTTTTGGCGGGTTTCTTGAAGTAGTTAGTCTCTTGGACACATGACCAATACATTCACTGAGCTCACTATTAAAATATATAAAATACATGCATGTCCCTGAAAAAATTAGTTCTTTAAGCCACTTATTTATAATTGGTCTATGAAAGGAAACTTGAGGAACATGATCACAGAGGTAACTATGCTAGGATTATATTCTTCGTTTAAAAGTGGCATAAAATCAATGACAATTTTTACATTACAAAGATCACCCTTGAGGGTGGAAAGGTTTTGAGTGAAGATATTTATTTCATGGAAAATAACTGAAAAGTTCACATAATAACTGAAAACTTACCGAGTACAAAGAGTGTCAAAAAGATCCCTGGCATAGGCTGACTGATCGGGCAGGTATGCAGTGTAACCAAATTTTTGTTTGTATACAACAACAAACCTGCCCTGACCAATCAGGCAACTTATTGCCTCTGGTATGTAGCTGTGGAATGGAGAAAAAAGATCAACATTACATTATGGTGGGAAATAGCTTTGGAACTCTTAAAAAATCGATTTTGTTTTTGTCATTGGTTGTTTGTTAACAAATAGGGAACTTAAGCAAACCAAGACGGTAACGACAACGAGAACGTCACCAAACAACAGATTTATTGAGAAAAACAATGACTGTGCACGTGCGTTACAAATCTTTGTACATTTCGTTTCCGTCCTATGCACAACAACAACGCGAAATGCCGTGAAAGCTCTGCGTATTTTGGAGAACGCAAACGACGGCGACTAATTTTTCGTATTTTTATTTGGAATTCAGCGCTGGCATTACATTTTTAGCTTGAGCAAGTTCTGAGACCAGTAAGCGTCCTGAATAGATCCAGACAATTGCGAAATTCAAAGATAACATATAAATTAATTTTTTACAAGGCGTTGTCCTCGGGGTCGCCATCATCATTGCTTAAGCTCTGACTAACGCAACGACGATTACAGTTTCGTTGGGCTATCAAATATAATTGATATCTCCATTATCATCTAGCAAGGCCAGTAAACAAAAAATAAAAAGGAAGCACTTACTCTGAGCTCTCGACGGCGGTGCAATATTTGTCAGAATCGAGCGTAAAAAGGTGGAAGCCATATTCATGAAGACCTATTTAGGCAAATAAGATGATTAGAAATTACTTATGAAAATAAATAGGTATTTATCTCGCAGCATCTCACGAATGCAAATCAGACACTGGTGATGGCCCTGTGATGGACTAACGCCGCATTCAGGGGGGAGGGGGGTGGGAGCGCAGATAAGCACCGGCCTGATGGATCACTAGATTCGAATGCATTTTTTCTTTTTACTTATATTTACCTTCATAGGTAAGACAATCTGGTAGCTTCACAGAGGCTGGGATTGTCTCAGGAACTTCATGAATGGCTGGAATGGATAAAAAAGGAGTAAAATTACACGATAAGTATGAGTACTCTGACAGCAAGAAATAGTTCTACATGTACACTTAGAAAAATCAACGCTATTACTTACAAGGACATAAAAATGCGTAGTTAAGGCTTAATACAATGAAAAAAGATAACCAAGAGCTAAATTTCTACAGCTAACTGATAAGTTCGGCGCGATTTTATTAATCAGTGTCAAAAAATGATTATAGATATTTTGTATGTGATATTGTTTACCTTCCTGGCTTGTACAATCACCAAATGCAGTGTTGGGTGTATCAATTGGCTGAGGAAGAACTTCAGGAATTGCTAAAAGAAGTATCAAACATAACAACATTAATGTCGATTAATCGAACAAGAAATATTACAGCAGATAGACTTAACAGCTGTCTGTAACTAATGAAATAATTTTAGGCCTTACGACCGGTGTGCTTCAAACAGACACAGCCTCAACACCTGTTGGTGTATTTTGTGGAAAAAGTAACAGTTTGTAACGAAGACTTGTATAAATGCATGGACAATTACGGACTTAACCTGTCACAAGCGTACCTTCGGCGCTAAGTCGATTGAGCTACGACGGCTCAACTTTAAAATATTAAAAACAAACAAACAAACAAACAAACATTGGAAAATATCTTATAGAAAACCTAGGCTCCATCAGACATCCGATTCAGTTATAGTTCTCAGTAATAGCTCCTGGTAGATAAGATAAATTATTTTTAAGTAAAGGGGATACCTTTCAATGTGGATGTTGGTTTGTTGAAAACCAATTCCTCGTCCGGGAAGTTCTTCCCCCCCGTCAAAAAACCAAGTAATGAATATTCCTGGTGAATATTCTCATAAATATGCTTGATGTCCGTGACACCCTTAGATGGTGTGGGGTGATTTTCGGTTGGTTTAGGGGGTATGGGATAATTTTGTATTGGCTTTTTGACGAGGTGAACGCCATATGAAGATGTTGTAAGGCGTTCACGGCCATGGTGTATCTTTGGTATCTAAGGATCGAGAAACAAATTTGCAAACGTCAGCACTTTTAATGGACGGAGGAGCGTTTTATAGCCTTGTATTATGAGCTGGAAATTTACATTTAAAATAACATTAACGCAGTCATAAGATTAAAAGATTTTCTCTGAGGGCTACTAGGCACTGGTGCCTGTATTTTTTCGCCT